AAAAAAAAAATACCTGTAAAGTCATTTGCAGAATAATATCAAAGAGGAGTGTTAATTAAGGAYGGCCTTTGAAATTTGATCTGCATTTCTTAACCTGGGTTAATTTCTTGCCTTGAAGGCGTATCCACTAGTTGTGGATATGTTTCTACATTTTGTCATTACTAAAATACTTTGGACAGGGAAAAAGCACCTGACTGATATCTCTTGTTAKAGTACTGTGACAGTTTTATAGGCATACCTGGAAAACATAGTCCTCTGAAAGGTAAGAAAGTCATCTCTGTTATCAAAATGCTAGGCTCAATAGAGCCAGGCTTAAGTCCAGAGCTGTTTGATATTTTCACTAATGGTCTGGATGCTAGCATGCAACTCACTCACTACATTTGTCCACAATGCCAAACCGAGACAGATTTAACACTAAAAATTATATTGACAAACTGGAGAAATCTGCTACAAAAGTGAAATGCTGTCTGTAAGGCCAAATGCCAGTTACCAAAACTCACAAGGGAACAGTCAGCTACATAAATGCAGAAGATAAAAACATGTCAGTACCTACTAATTCTGCACATAGCAATCTGAGCATTATGGTGAATCACAAAATGAATACAAACGARCAGATGTTATGAGCTTTATGAAGATGAGCACTATCTATAGAAGTGGGAACAAACCCTTCTACTCTTCAAGCTTTAGAAAGCCCCAACAGTAGGAACTCCATGAGCAAGGTTGGGCAGCAAAGTTCCCACTTTTTCTCTGCGACATTTAAGATGAGGCAGTATTAACAAGTTCCCAAGCATCACACCCTAAGCATTTCAGGTCAGTTTGGAACAAGTATTGCCAGGCAGGGCCAACGAAGGCCTTCAGGCACATGTCAGTGCCGTGGGAAATAATCTGATTTTGAGAATAAAGTGGATGTCCCTACAGCTTGTGGACAAATATGCACCATAATGAAATATCACTGATTTTATATGGCCTCGGCAATATCACCCCTGCTCTCGCACGTAATTTGTGCTCATTTTGGCATTATAATCATTGGGCCTTTCCTGTTTAAAGTCAACTGGAAAATGGAACTTTACTGGCAGAGCAGCAGTAACTTCTCACATAAATCCATCAGAACGGAACATTTCATCAACATTCATGCTGTTGTGGAGACTGACATACTACAAGTGGACTTCAAGGAGAGAGGAGGTGTTTCTGTGTATAGAAACAGTCTCAGCTGACTGGAATCTGGCTCAGTACCATGGCTGCCCTTGCTAGATGACACACCTGTGCTCACACAGTCCAAGCTATGTCCACCATCACATCATTTTCTGCTCAGTTCTTGGCTTGATTCTACAAACCTTAAAAAAAAAGAGAGAAGATTAAACATTCTTTCAAGATTTAYTACACATGCCAATTGAATATAACATTTGCTATTTATATAACAACATTTGATTATTAGAATTCAATAGTTTTTTGAAAACAGAGTTTTCCATGATGTTCAGCTCCATTTACCTTCATTTTCTGCTATGGGCACAATTACACCAAGCTCTTTTATTTTGGGTTAAGTCATGGAATATTTTCACATTAAAATTGAAACTATATACAAGCTTTTGCTGAAAGCATTGTCAAATCAGCACTGGAAGATTTTAAATCAGAGAGTGTCTATGAATGGCTATATGAATAGGTCTTTTGTGGTCCTGTTATTTCTCAGGTACAAAGTCTTTGTAGCAAGCAAAATATTTTGGCTATTTATGTTTTTACTGTGTGATTTATAACATTGTCCCAAAACCCTTTGTGAATTTAAAATGCTGTGACCATGCTTTTTAGGAAGGAATGTTTAAATTTAATATTCCCAGATCCTTATTTAGGTTCTTTAAGGAGGCCCCAATCCTGCAAATACTGACACAGGTGCTTTTAGTTAAGTATAGGTTTAAATTTTGGCAGAATCAGGGCCTAAGTAACCTGACATTTCAAAAATACCMAGTAATTTCCAGAGACTGTTGCAAGCCATACAGCACAGAAGCAGTACTATGTTGCATAGTCCTTCGAACTTCAATAGGATTATTCACATGTTCAAAGCTCTTGCTGGATCACACCCTTTCTGGCAAGAAAGAATCGGTTCCTTAAATGAGAATTGACTCATGCTTTTAAAATTGCATAGCCACCACTTGACATACATGCTTAGTTCTACACACTTGATTTTGAACACTGAGAGTATATGCACTTTGGTAACTGTTTCTCTGACAAGGCCTTAAATCTGCAATATAAACAAATGCACCAGCTTCAGGCAGGAAGGGGTCAGGCATTGACACACTTGGCTAACTAGTCCCTTTACACATAAAGCACCTACGCAAATAAAGTAAAAACAAACTTGATTTAGAATGCATTTTATTATTTTATAAATCATCTTAAGAATAAAATCAATGAAGTATCAAAAATAACCATTTAAAGGGCAAGGGGTTTCTGTAGGAGGATAAAATAGACTCAGTTTTGACTTTATAAGCATTTTACTCCCAGAAGCAAGAAAACGTCTTATAATGCATAATGCTTCAAAGAATCTTCAAGTAACAAACAAAATAACACTTCTTTGAATGCTTCATTTTGGATGATACCATTTTAAACTSAGTTTTTGAAAAAATCTCAAAGCTGAAAATAATTTAGACAGACTGCATCTAAGCTGAGCTTCTCAAGACAGGGGTAGTATACAAGGTAAGTACAGTGGTAACTTTGAGTCTTCCTCAGATCTGACTTATTCTCTGGTAACATAYGGAAACCAGTTGATCCTCAATACCATCAGTAGCCAAAGAGTGTTAGGATGTAAAAATCTGCGGTGATGCTCTCTTTCCCAATTTATATAGGATAAAAGATCCACATAGAGGCAGAACTACTAGCTGAACTGATTTCAAGGCTATCATAAATCAAGCCTCAGACTTGATTTGATCAAAGATCTGCCACTGTAGAGTGAAAAATGCACACACATCAAATACAGTCAAATACAGTCAATATTTTAGCTCAGACAACTAAGTCTTCTAAGTTTTATAGCTTGGGTCTAGTATGCACTCTATTCTTTCAGTTTCTCAGCCAAAAAATAGTTAGATGTCAGCAAAGAGGTCCTCTGGGTCACAAGTGTTTTCCAGCGTCTCAAGGGACATCACATCCTGGGAATGCTTGTCCGATGTCTTCTGTGAGGCAAGATCAGGTCTGAAAATATAAAGTAAAAACACTGATCTGGAACAAATTTAGATACAGATATAAACAAATCAAACATAAACACAGAGAAGGTAACCGCTTAATAGTGTATTTTGAGCTTTTTGTTAAGGTTACATGCAAGAGAAAAGTGCTCTTTGTAAGACTTAATTACTTGATGAGACGGCAATGGCAAAACAAAGGGATGAATTCAGTTTATAAATGTCAAGGCTCCAGCTATTTTGTTACAACTTTTAGAACACCGGGAATGACCATTTCACCCACACTTTCCACAGAGAGAGCTAAGCATAGTAGGACAAACACAAAAAACACAAAGAATTTGCTCTTTTGCTGCTGCACTGGATGATGTTCTGTTAACCACTCTTTCCCTTTGTCCTGGTGCTAAATGGACATCTGTTGCCCATCAGCTTGGCTTGTAGGCATAAAAATAGACATAAAAAGTTGTCCCAGAGGCCCATGCCCCAATGGTACAAGTTTCTTGCCGAACAAGAGAGTAGAAGGAACAAAGGCAAATTTAGCAAATCCTTTCATAATACACATGCTCACAACTTTCAGACTTACTCTCGCCTATACCTGTACATGTTATATTTACATTTGCTAGAACTGTATGCAAATAAAAGACCTTGTCATGTACTGATATATGTACACCAAGATGATACAGGTTTGTCTTGGATAATTGTATACTACAAAGTCCTATTTGAAAACTTCAGGCTAGAATCAGATATTCACTATATTCAATAACATGCTGCTCTGCACTTAGTCCTATATAGCATTTATCTGACTGTCCTTATTATCATAGAATTTTTAAAAGTCTGTTACATGAGCTCTTGGCTCATGTAACAAGTGCTCATGTTCCCTGTTATTCTTTTCTCTCTSAGGTAGGATTCTGATGAACACGATTCTGTGTTTCTCCTTCAGGAAGTAAGGCAAGGAATTGCATCTTGCAATTCAGAAGACTGTGACATTTGCAATACCCTCTAGCCCTTATGAAAATTAATTTTATATTTATAGACTGAATCTCCCAAAAGTGTTTCAAGCCTACACAGACATATTTATTTCTGAGAGCTTTAGAAAGAAAACATTACAGATCACAGACATTTGAGTTCTTGAGGACATAATATTCCGGGCCTAYGTAACTAGCCACTTTGAAGATAAGAACCAATCTCTTGATCTTGACTTGGTATTCTGTGGGAAATCAGTATAGGAAGTAGGAAGCAGACATGATGTGCTTGTAGTTGCCTCTATTGTTAGATTTTGGACTGATCAGAATTTCCAAAGGGTTGATGCCTTCATGCCCAAGATCCTCTTCAGTAGTGCAGAAAGAAGATGAAAAGTTATATGTTTTCAAGGCTAACACATCTACCGTGAACAGAACTAGACAGAAGTGATGGAAAGTGTTACTTTCAAATGACATATGAGGGCTTAGTGTATCAAGACCCTGAAAAGCAATCCTAATTTCCAGACTAACTCAAGAGCTTGCATCCATCTGCTTCCATAACTGTGACCAAGGTTAGTCAAATCCAAGATTTCCAATCATTGTTTTGAAATTTGATTTAATACAGATTCACAGTCAACTTTTCCAGAATTCCCTTCTATTATAAGAGGAACAAAAGTAGCTTTAATACACTACAATCTCCAAAATGTAACAAGCTTTCTAAGACCCCAGCCACTATCTGATTCATACCTTCTTAGGATTCAAGTTTTTCAGTAGAAGCTATAAAACATTCAGAGGTTCAGCACTTTCACTACAATGATTTCTGCTCTGGACTTGGGGAATTGCTTTCATTTAGAGGTGGCACCTGCTGCAGTCCTGAGGATTCAGCAAAAGTTCAGTTAAATTCTGCATCTCAGATGCTGTGACTTCTTAACAGCTTTCCAATATTCATAAAGGTTTCCTCACCATTCTATTTATCATTCCAGCCCTGTTTTGAATACAGCATGCTTGTATTTTCATATTATAATCACCTCTTTCTCTGAAAATCTAGCTAATAATCACTGGAAATTCTTCAAAATGCTTTCTGCCATGCCCGAGTAAATCATATTCAAGTCTTTTGGTTGATATGCATTGACACCTAGGAAGACATATGCCTCTTCTTTAAAGCAAACTTTAGTTTAGCAAACTAATTTAGTTAGCAAGCTAATCTTTAAAGCAAACCTGCCAAAATCTCATATTTAGAAAACAACCTCCAGTCTGCAGAATCAGATCATTGAAAACTATTTTGATTGCTCACAATCCACTTATTCATACAGTATTTTTTTAAGGTACAGTTATTCCAGTGCAATGTTATATTCAACTTCACTACTGAAGATATCTTGTTCTTTTACGTTTCTGGGTCAGTCTAAAGCATTACCTCTCTACTGAGAGCATACCTGAATGTAGTATACAGGCTGTTTTACTTAATTCTAACTGATCTCATCAGCTTGTAAATTAGGTTGTGAAGACCTCTGTACCACCACAGGTTATTCCAGGTAATTAAAGTT